CCGGGCGGCGCGGGCGGCGGCGGCAGCGGCGGCGGCGGAGGCGGCGGTGGTCCGGGCCCTGGTCCCAGCCCTGGCTCAGGCGGCCCACCCAACAGGCGCCACTACGGGATTAAGCCTGAAACCGGAGCGGCCCCGACCCCCACCGCCGCCACCTCCACCTCCTCTTCCACTTCCTCGTCTTCCTCCTCCAAACAGACTGAGTGCTCCGTGGCCCGGGAGTCCCAGGGGAGCGGCGGCCCCGAGTTCTCGTGCAACTCGTTCCTACGGGACAAGGCGGCAGCGGCAGCTGGGAGAACCCGGCCTGGGGCAGGGATCGGGACCGGGACAGCGTCGGAGCCCTCGGCTTGCAGCGACCACCCGAGCCCAGGCTGCCCGCTGAAGGAAGAAGAGAAACAGCATCCGCAGCCGCCACAACAGCAACTTGACCCAAGTAAGTGCAAAAGAAATTGCCCCCTGATTTATTGCTGAAACCTGTAAGGCTCGAATGTGCAAAACTGATAGTTTTACTAACCTATAAAAACGTCTAGACGCCTACCTTAGCTTAGGCGAGCAACACACATCCATAAAAAAGCTTCCCATAACCACCTACTCTGGGCGCGCGGTTTGTACGGTAAACAGAGCGCAGGCATTAAGGCTTTTTATGATAATTCCCCAAGTTGTGAAAAGCGACCATCCTTGGTGAAATTAATTTAACGACCTCTCTCTCCAACCCTGTCGTCTCTCCCTGCCTGCCCTCCGCCCCTCGCTCCCCGTCTCCAAACCCCCCTCTTCATAGACAACCCTGCCGCAAACTGGATCCACGCTCGCTCCACCCGGAAAAAGCGCTGTCCCTACACCAAATACCAGACGCTGGAGCTGGAGAAGGAATTCCTCTTCAACATGTACCTCACCCGGGACCGGCGCTACGAGGTGGCGAGGATTCTGAACCTCACAGAGAGACAAGTCAAAATCTGGTTTCAGAATCGTAGGATGAAAATGAAAAAGCTGAGCAAGGAGAAATGCCCCAAAGGAGACTGACCCCGGGCGGCGCCGGCTGGACCGCTCTGCTTTGCAAAGGCAGTGCGGTTTTGTTTTGTTTTGTTTTCTTTGTGGGTGCTTGATTTCCAGAAACTCTCCAGCGATTTGGATATTTCATCCCCTTTTCTAGGTAGAAATGACTGTGTGGTTGGTCTCTGTGAGGTATTTCGGGGGACTATTTGCTCGCTTATGTGTTGGAGAAACCAAGTGGCTTTGGGGTTTTGCCCTGTACCGCGCCCTCTCTTTCCTACCCCGTTGGTTCCTTAGGAAATGCTGTATTTTGTGAGTGCACGCTGGCTTGAGCAGCCTTCTCCTTTGTAAATGTCCTCCATGTTTCTGAAAATTGCTGTAGTTTAGCTCCCAGTGCTGCTCAAGCTGGGGCCACGCGTGCCCCACTTCCCCGAATGAAGGCAGAGCAACAGTGCGGAGGCTCGCCGAGGCCTGGCCGGGTAGCCCACCGGTTATGAAAGCCCTTTCTTCAGGGAGCACGCGGGCCCTCAACTGAGACCTGGAAGGAGGCAGAAAGAGGAGCCCGGGGCCTCGGGTGGGCTGAGGGGTTATTCTCAGTGTACTGGTGGCGCTGCTGTCTCCAGCTCATGTGGCCCTCCCGGTTTCTGCCTGAGGACCAGTTGTAAACGTTACCGCTTTTTACCAATAAATGCTGACCTGAACAAACAGAGCCCAGACGCTGGCCCTGAACACTGTGTGCCTGCTTTCTCTGTCTCTCTGCGAAATATCACTCTCACGGGACTTCTCCCCCATCCCTGGGAGGGAGACACTGCTAAAAATCCAGAGTCCTCCCACCTGAGTGGTCCCTCTGATGTGCCTCGGAGTCTCCTTTTGTGTGGGAAGACCCAGTCTAGAGCACGGTCCCTAGGTGCGAGTGGCAGCCCGTTTATCCCCCAGCGTGTTTCCTCAGCAAACTCTGCCCTGGATCCAGTGTCAGCCTCGCAGTAGTGCCCAGAGGAACCCAGGGGCCCCAGAAACCAGGCACCCTCTTGCTGAGGCATTGGCACACCGTACCCCAAGTCTCCCTCTGATCATTTAGTCCCAGCCATCCACCCCCACTCTCTCCAAACAAGGGAAAGGCAACTCTGCACTCTCGAGCAACTTCTCCAGCTCTGCGGGTCTGGCTGGCTACGGGAGTGCTGAGCGGTCAGACTGTGAGATTTCGCCCCTCCCCACAGAAGCCCCAAAGTGACCTTAGCAGATCAAAATGGTCAAGGCTCTTCTCCCCAGTTACCCCCACCCACAGCCCCTCCCCCATCCAGTTTCTGTGAGCGGTTAGCCCCCAGCTTGGCCCTTCTGAGGGCCGCATTCAGAGGCTAAAATGAAGGTCATTGTAAGCGAGAGTTCGGGCCCAGCACAGCTTTTGTGGGCAAGAGAGGCGGAGGCGCCGGGCAGCCTGGGCTAGGCAGAAGGCGGGAGAGGTGGGGGGACGATGGCAGAGTTTGGGGGTTCATGATAAAAGAGGGGAAAGGGGGGCTGGGAGGGAAAGCCAAGGCCCAGATCCGGCAGAAGGTGCTGCGTACCCCCGCCCCTGCGACCAACCCGATACCTAGGGCTCTTTGAAAACAGGAAGAGCCAAGGTGTCATAAAGCCATCGAGCTGGCGAGACGTCTGGAGGTAATGAGTTTACGACAGGCCCGGCGCTTCGCTTTGAAACCATCTCATTTTGATGTTTGTGTTTGTAGGAGGAAAGGAAAATGCAGACAAAACTGGGTCTTAAAATCTGGACAATAAAATATAAACAAGACTGCGTTGGACCAAGAAGACAGGGGCTTGGGAGGCCCCGGTGAAGTGTGAGCACCTAGGAAATTGAAATGGGGGTGGGTATGAAGGAGGAGATGATGTATTTTTGATTTTTAAAATGGTTTGGTTATTAGAATTAGCCTACAGTGGGTGGCTCTTTATAATATTTGATTGTGGCTGTAGTCTAGCTTGTTTGTTTTTTTTTTTTAAATCAGCTTCTTATTTGAGGGTGGGAGAGTTAGTGATCTTGGGTCATTTACTCAGGCCCAGGGTTTCTCAGCCACATGGTTTGCGGCAAAAGATGAACTTACTTAAATGCCTTTTACGAAAATATCTGGCCCTGGACTCCAAACTTCATAGCAAAAATATCGTTGGAAATTATATCTATTTGCTTATAGAAAATACAATAGTTACTGCTGAATTGGAGGAAAGCGTTTTTGAAAATGAGAAAAAAAGATTAACCTCACAGAAAACATCTAAGCTGATTAAAATCTTTGCTTAAAAAAAAAATTCAAATGGACTGCTTAGTTAATTCATTTTATTCTGTGACTTTTGATATAAATTTAAAGCCTCATTTATGGTGCATAGATGTTCTAATAAACACAGCCCAACAGGGCCTTTCCAGACAACTACTCGAGATCTAGCAAAAAAACCTTTAATTTGGTTTCTATAAGCCTCCCCACCCTTGCCCAGCGAAATGGGCCTGAAGCATTAAAATTACAAATTTAAAATAGCAAATATTCATTCATGATTCAACACTAACAATTTTAAAAGAAAAAAAATAACTTCTATGATTTCTTAGTTTTTGCCTGGCCCTTCTGGGTGAATATCCTGTTGCAACTGAGATTTAGAAAGTTGTGATTTTTGATAAATCTAGTTCATCCTCCTATAGTTATGGGTTACTGTAGAATGGGGACCTACTGTCTGGCAAAAGAAAAACCGGAAATTTTTGAAAAATATACTACTGGAAGCTCTTGGGAGCACAGGTATCTTTGGCATTCAGGAGCCCCTGTTTGCTGTAGCTGACTTTTTGACAAACAAAAGGATGAAGCATCATTAGTGTTAGCGATCCAAGCCGCAAACTAAAGAACAAGATTAGAATTGGTTTGAGTACAATAAAGGGAAGTTAAGCTCTGTCGACTCTAGGTGGCATTTGGCCACTAGAGAGCGCCGTTGCTCCACTTTGTGATCTCGTAAAGCAGGAGTTGTACAGTGGAGGAAGGTTTTGATTAGGAATATTTACAATCGTATTTTAAATTTCAAATTAGGATAAACTTAACAAAAAAAAGAAGCAATGTGCACTATTAAATTCTGCAGCCATATTTTTTCTGTATAAAATTTTGGTTTAGTCAGGATTTCAGAAAATTTAGACTATGGCACAGCTGAAACTATATAATACGTTATGGTAAGTTAATGCATTCAATCAAAATAGAAGCTTGTAAAAGCATAGATCTTTATTTGCGAAGTTAATCGCGCTCTTTTTCCATTCAGATTATAAACAAAATGCTTGAAAGAAAAACTAAGTGTTTTGTCCCAAGAGGAAACTTGTTGTAATAACATTTTTTTAATTAGGCCAGAATGTGTAGAAATGAATTTTGTAGTATGTATTTCTTTTTCATCCACAGGAATTACACAGTTCTAGACGGTGCTTTGCATTATTAAGATCTGGGCTCACTCTTCTTTTCCCCCAATTTCAAACCCCACTCTTTTATCGAGTGTTTAAATGCGCGTGCCGCGCGCGCACACGCACAAAACACAGCCCAAACGGTGAAATAAAAAAAGGCACAATTACAAAGTTAGTTCCAAGGTTTTGTTGAAAATAATACTCTTTTAATTGGATTTAGGCAAGACTGAAATACAAATCGTTAACTGTCAGAATGTGTTCGTTCGCCTTAGGATTTAAAGGAAGTTTTACCTGGAGATAACCCGCAGAAAACAAACACTCAAAACACCCCCTACCTTCCACCAGCCCCGCAACAAATCTCCTACACTCTACTAATTTAAAAATTAAATAAAGCATGCCTTTTTCACCTGGAGCTTTATTAGCAATCCGTTTATCTTAACCATTTCCATCCATTCCCTATAAAAATAATTGAAAGAGTCTTATCTTGTTATGCCTTTCCATTTCGACCTTATTTTCTCCATTTGCAAAATATAACATGCAGTCCACTCGAACTGACCTCAGGATCGCACTCACAGGCTGGGGCGTACTTGAAATCACTCGCCTGCTGCGCCTTTGGGGGCTATCTGAGATTTTTAGACATTTGTATTTGGCGTGAAAAGCCGTCATAGTGTGTGTTTCAGCGTTAGCGGTGGAACCCTGGATGGGCTCAGGGCGTGTTTTCCAGGCTGGTTCCCAAGGCCGGTGTGCCTGGCGCCCTTACAACAGTGGATTATCACCCAAAGGAAAGGGGCTCGATCACGCAAAAAGTCCAAGAAAAAGGCCAAGTAGGCGAGGGAAAACTCACTCAACAGAGACCTATTACAGTTATTGGACATTAAAACGAGAGTAAAGAAGGGATAAATATGTGGAGGAGAGAGGGCTGTCTGTGGTGTAACGCCAAGCGGCTTTAGAGAGAGCTTCAAACTCAGGAATATTTTGCTGATTCACACTCGACTTGCTCACATGAGTCGGGACGTTTCTCTTCCCCTCGCTCACAAGTTAAGATGAACCTTCTTTTTCCTTTTGAAAACTTACTAACTTTTAAAGCAGAGCCCAGCGCCTGTTCTCTGCAGTAATTACACAGGTTTGGCGGATGAACTAGAATCCTTAGCGTGAGATGGACGCCTCCTGCAGCTGCCTAGAACCGGAGGGATCCGAACACAGGCAAGGAGGTTTGGAGGGGTGGGGGAGAGGAGCTCAGGGAGTCGGCCCCCGCCCCGTGCTCTGTCTGGGGCCACCGCCTGCCCTGGTTCGCTTCGTACCAGGGCTGAGACCCAGGAGCCGCGCGTCCTGCCTGAGGAAATAACACGCACCCCAGCATGAGTCCTCCTTCCCGCCTTGAAACATTTCTGTCCGCTTTTCTATTTACTTCCTCAGCAATGCTAATGCCTCCCTCCCCACATTCTTCAGCCTCCCCCCTGCGCCCGGTGCTGACGTCTATCAAGGGTGAAATGATGGAAACTATATTCATGGGCATGATTTCCATTAAATATCAATTAACCTAGGAGCCTCAGCCAGGCGTGCAATGCGTCAAGGGTAAATGTACATCTCATTTCCACAAGGCCCGCTCGGCTGGAAAAGGCTTAGATTCGCTTTGATAATGCCAGGTTTGGGGGTCACCCTTGTGGCCTTGTATCAAACCATTTGGATGGACCCAACCCTTAAAGTTCGGTCCAGCCCCTCTACACTGCTTGCCCTGTGCTCTGGGTTGCGCCCGAGTGTCTAGAGGTGCAAAAGCCAGAGGCAACTTCTGCGGGATTGCTCCAGGAGCCGAGGGAGGTAGTAATTTACTCTGCAGCCTCCTGGGAGTGGCCTCCTCACACCCCCTCCACCACCACCACCACCAAGTGTAAGGTACTGACGCGCCCCCGCCCTGCTGGCCGCAGCCCACATTCCCTGGCCCCACGGGCACAGCGAGCCCTTGGCGGTGCGGCTTTATGGGCCCCCTTTAAGGCCGGCGGAGGCATCTCCCGACGAGCGTGAGGCGCCCCGTCGGGAACATTGGTGTCGCCTCCGCACGGATCCCTCCGCGCGGTTATCTCGCCCCCATCTCGCTCCCTCTCCGCGCAGTGGCGTGGTGCGAAAATGCCTCGCCGGTGCGCACCGGGGCGGCAGCCTCGGCGGCGGCGGCGGCGGCGAGAACAGTGGGAGGGGGCCGTGAGGGGGGGCGAGGTGAGAGGTGGCGGGCAGAGGGTGTTTTTTTTCTTTTCCCTCCAGAGTGGGGGTTTGTAAACCGAAGCCAAAGAGTGTCCCCGTGGGCCGGGCGCACTTTTTTCTTGCCCCTATGCGCACAGGGCCGCCTGCTGCCTGAGAGGAAACTGAAGGCAGCAGGGCAGGTCACCCGGGGCGTCGGCGATTATATTGCGGCCGAGCCGGCGCGCGCTGGGAGAGGCCAGGCGGGCGGTGAGCGTGGGGGCTGGGTAAGGCCCCAAGCCCCGCGAGGGAGGCGACGCGAGGCCAAGGCG